GATGAGCCCACACACACCCACGGGGCTCTGGGCTCAGGAGCTCAGCATTCCTGAGATCTGGCTCTGGGTGAATGGGATGCAGGTGGTTGGAAGTCCCTAGGCCAGAATTATTATGAATGGCTCAGACAGTGCATGTTGTAAAGGTGATTTTTTATTTTGACAGTTTCAGGAGGTCACACACTGAGGGAACCTGCTCTGCACGGGGCTCAGCCAAAATCCCTGAGCCTGGCAGGCAGAGCTGCTCCTCATCTGGCTGATCCTCAGGGCCCTGGGAAGCAGAAAATAGCTGGGATCTGCTCTGGATGCCACTTTGCCTGCTTTCCCTTTTGGGGACAAAATTCAGCCCCAGATCTGTTGTTGGGATGTGCTGGGCAGGCTCCTGAGCAGAGCATTCCTGGCCCCAGAGCGGGATGGAGACAGAGCCACAGGGAGAGGGGGACCTTACATCCCCGAGGATTTCGGAGCCTCCCCTCCCCTCTGCTGGGAGAGCTGCACCCAGGCACGCCAGGCACCCCCAAATTTAGCCCCTGACACAGCATTTTGTGTGCCTGGCCCGGCCCTGATGACACAAGGGTGGCAACTGTCACCTGCTGAGCCCCGGGGCCGCCGGGCCAGCAGCTGCCAGCAGCACACACGATCCCTGTCCCCAGCACCAGACCACGGGGACATTGCTCACGTAGCATCACAGCCCAAACCCAGCCCCTCCCTGCCCTCACAGACAGGGCTGGGGCGCCAGCAAGGCAATGGGGGCTGAGCAGAGCCTTGCCCTTCAGTATTTTGGGGGTTCAGGCCCCTCACAAAGGTCGGTGTGTGAAGGATGTCCTGTAACTAAAGGGCTGAGCAGGCACAGGCTGTGGCTTGGCATTAATTTGTGCCCAATTCACTTGGGCTCGTTCCAGGTGAAGATCTGGAGATGCTCAGGGACCTTCCAAGGGCTCATCGCTCCTCACCTTTTTGTCCTTGAGGTCACTTCACTCTGGGCTCCCTAAAACAGCAGCTGGGCCAGGGTGGTGAGGCACACAGGTGGCCACAGTCCCTCCATGTCCCCATGGTGAGCTCAGCCCCAGCTGGGCACTGTCCATCCCTCCTGCTGCACAGGAGCAACACAAATCCAAGGCAAACAAGAGAAGAGCAGAGGCAGATTTATTCCTCTCTCCTCCTGATTGCTGCAGGCACTTTTACAAACCAACTCCCACCTTCCACAGCCACGAAACTCAGCCACCAGCTCAGAAGGCAGGCACTGGGATCCCCTTTTCTCTTTTCCCAGTGCCCTTCTGGGCTAGAGCACAGTCCAGTGAGACACAATTAGGGGCAGGAGTGACCCAGAGCTCCCTGCATGGTGACCTGACCTAGGAGAAAACTTGCATTACAGTCACTCACATTCACACTTCAGTCCCACTCTTTTTTCCAGTTCCAAGTCCCTTTTTTTTTTTTTTTTCCCAGCCATCAGCCTTGAGAAGCAAAGTGTGGCTGCTAAACACTGATGGTGAGAAGCAGGGCTCTGACATAGTGGATTCCCCATCCCTGTCCCCCACCACCTTCCCAGATCTGCAGCCTTTAGGATTTTTCCTTCTCTTTTCCTTCCTCAGCCCGTTCTTCTTTCCCCACTGGCTGCTCCTGCTGCGTTATCTTCACCTCGTTGACTCTGGCCTTCACCTCCTTGCCTGTCCGGGGAGCCACGATGCTCAGGATGCCATCGTGGGACAGGGTGGCCCTGACCAGCAAGGGATCCACATCCAGGGGGAGGATGTAGGTCCTGGTGAACTCCCTGGAGATGAAGCCGTGGCGATCAGCCTTCTGCGGGTGCTGGCCCACCACCTCCAGCAGGTTGTCCACGGTGCGCACGCGGAGCTCGTCGGGCAGGAACTGGCAGACGTCCAGGAACACCTGGAACTTGTGCTCGTTCAGGCAGATCTCCGAGGTGCCCCTCTCCAGCTGCTTGTTGATCCGGGGCCGGATGTAGTAGCCGTGGTACAAGGCAGGGGCTAAAATCTCCGATGGGGACACACCTGGGAAGGAGATTCAGTGAGAGGAGTTTCCAGGGAATGGGGTTGGAGCAGCAGGCAGGAGGAGTTTGGGACCTGGAGGACACCTTGGCTTTGCCACATCACCACAGCAGGGGTGGAGTTTGCTGCAGTTCCCACCTTTGTGCCCCTAAAACACACCCAGAGCCACATCCCTGCCAGCCACTGAGTGCCACTGGGCTGCCCTGAGTGCCAGCTAGCCCGGGGCTGGCATCCAGCTTTACATGTTGGGTGCACGGGGAGGGCCTGGTGGGTGCACTGGGAGCTCTGCAGAGCAGAGCCCACAGCCAGGGATGGGCATGGAAACTGCTGATGGTGAAGAAACCGCCCTGAAGAACTAAAGGCCTTTTGTGTGCCATTGTCCAGAGGGCTTTCCTTGGAGCTTTTTGCCTTTTCACGCTGTTGTGCTGGTGCTGAATGGTTCTGCTGCTGCCCACATTCCTTCCCCTCTGCCCAGCTTTGTGCTGAACGCCCCAGCTCAGCTTTTCTCCACATCCCCCGGCTGGAAAAGCTTCCCCCCCCTCCCCTGAGCGTTTTTGCTCCATGTTTTCACAGCATGTGCATGAATGCCAGAGCATGGCTGGCATGAGGGAGGGACGGGACAGGCAGCAGTGGGCATGGATGGAGAAGTGGACATGAAGAGAGAGACCCTGGTTTTCCCCTGGCTATTCCCTGATTTTACCCTCACTATTTCCTGGCTCTTCTCTGATTATTCCCTGTCTATTCCCTGGTTTTCCCCTGGCTTTTCCTGGGCAATTTTCTAGCTATTCCCTGGCTATTCCCTGGCTATTCCCTGGTTATTCCCTGGCTTTTTTGATCTGGGTTCCTCCACTCCAAATTCCTCAGCTCCAGCTTCCTCCTCTGGAGCTCAAGCTCCCCAGAGGGAATTCCACCAGCCCTCCTGCAGCAGAGGGGAGAAAGATGCAAAGAGTGGGGAGGTCCCACCTCGTTCCTTACCTTCTCCAAAGTTCTGGTCGTAGATCTTGCTGGGGTTGGCAAACTCGTACTCGGAGCTCATGGGGTAGGCGTGGGGCACGGTGCGGGTGGCCATGGCGTGTCCAGGACAGGCACCTTCCTTCCCTCCTTCCTTCCCTCCTTCCTTCCCTCCTTCCTTCCCTCCTTCCTTCCCTCCTTCCCAGCCCTCGCTGCCTCTCCGAGTGAAGGCTGCAAGGCTTCAGCTGGGTGGATTCCAAAGGGAGGAGTGTGTGATAAAAAAGATGGACCAAAATAGCCCAGGACGCCAGGCCAGGGCAGCTCCTCGCTGCATTCCAGCAGGGAGGGCAGGCACTGCCTGCACCCACGGACACCTCAGGGACACCCTGCACATCCCCCCGGCCTCTGAGGGTCCCTTCTGGAGCAGGGGGTGCAGGAGGAGGATGGGCAGCTGAGAACAGCCTGGACTGAGGGGTGCAGGAGGAACCCCAGGCTCTGCTGCTCCAAAGCAAGAGGCTCGGTGGAGCAGGCTCAGGGACACTGGAATTGGTGGCCCTAAGCCCCCATGGGTGGCTGGTGCTTGTTCAAGTCCTGTCATGGAGCCACTGCCCACTGTGAGCTTGGGGCTCAAACCCCTCCTGTTCCCTGCCTGAGGAGCCTGATTTTCCCAAAGCTGAGCTCAAGTCTTCTGTTCCTGTAGTGGAGAAGGGCTGCAGGGAGTGAAGCAGGGATCCAGGTCCCACTGCTGTCACCTCGCCATCCTGAAGCCTGCTGGCTGCCCAGGCTCTTCCCTTGGCCAGGGCTTTGGCACAAGGCCATGGAGAAATGCTGGTGCCAGACATCACCCATTAACCCGGGCTCTGAACCTGGCATAAATCCAGTTTTACTGAGCAGGGCTGGTGAGCTGCTGGTGCTGCAGCAGGGGAGGAGTGCCCAGCTGAGCTCTGCATACCCTGAAACCAGAGATTTCCTTGAGCCCTGCAGTGAGGGACAGCAGGTGCCGTGCTGTTGATGTAATGGGGGCTTGGAGAGGGTATTTATGGCCTGGGCTGCTGCACAGAGCAAATCCTGCTCCCTATTCTTACAGGCAAGCCGAGAGAAAGAGGCTCAGAGCCTTTTGCAAAGGGCTGGCAGAGCTGGCAGTGCCTCTGAGCCAGAAATGGAGTTTAAATTGCCAGCTCTCACAGGCAGAGAAGCTCTTGCCCTTCAACAGTTGCTAGGCTGAGCCCATTCCTGTGATTTGGGTCCACGGGTGAGGCAGGAATTGAAATAAATGTGCGAATTGTTAGGAGGAGAGGTGCAGGAAAGCAGGTCAGTGCAGGGGCAGAGGCAGACAGAGGTGTTCTGCACCCCTGGGTGCTCTGCAGCACCGTGACTACACCCAGGTTCTCTCTGGGGTCACAGTGTGGGCATCTTCCCTCCAGAAAAATGTGCTCTGCAGTGGGCAAAAGACAAGAGGTGTTGGTGGAGAGATCCATCCTTTACCCACACTCGCTGTGAGAGCTGCAGTGCCAGGACCATCCCAGCAATGCCCTCCTGGCACCTTCCCTACCGTGATTTTGTGGCTCCCTTTGGTGCTGAGATGGGCCCAGCCCTGGTGGGTGATGTGGGAGCCGAGGTGCCAGTGCCAGCAGCAGGAACAACAGCCCCTTGTCCTGGTGCCCGTGAGCCAAAGATAGGAGCTGCATTGATCCCGCTGGCATCCAGAGCAGCTGGCACCATGGGCCAAGGGACTGGGGATAAACAGCACGTGGGCAGCAGGGCGGGCACAGGGCCACTCTGGCTTCTTGCTGCCCCATTGGGCTCCTCTTCTTCCTCTCCCCTTCCCCCTCCTCCTCAGCAGCGCGCTCAAATCCCTCAGACAGCTACTGGGCACCGCCGAAGGGCCCAGCCCAGGAGTGGGACAATAAAATCCCTGACACCACTGTTCAAGAGGCCTCGGGGGGGTGGAAGGCCAGGCCAGCTGCACGGGTATAAAGCTGTCCCCGCTCCCAGCACGGCACTGCAGCACAGTTGTTTGCCAGGCTCCTCCAGCGCTCTCCAATGGATATCACCATCCACAACCCCCTGATCCGCAGACCTTTCTTCTCTTGGTTGGCACCGAGTCGTATCTTTGACCAGATTTTCGGGGAGCACCTGCCAGAGTCGGAGCTGCTCCCTGTTTCCCCCAGCTTCAGCCCCTTCCTGATGAGATCCCCCATCCTTCGGATGCCCAGTTGGCTAGAGACAGGACTCTCGGAGGTAATCCTTGCTTCTTGGGGCTCTTGGTGGCTGCTGGGGGCACAGCCTGCTGGCTCTGCAGGCCCAGGACAGCTGAGAGCTTGGAAGATGCTCACAGGTGTTTGTTTTTTGTTTTTTTTTAAGGAAAAAGCCTGGGGAAAAAGGTGCTGTGTTTGTGCATTGCTTGGGATGGAGCCAGGCTGGCCATAGTGATGGGAACAGTGGCAAACCGAGCTCAGTGGGCATGGCAGATCACCCCAGCAGCTGGCAGAGGAAAGGAGGAAGCCTAATTTCCCCAATTTCCCCAATTTCCCCAATTTCCCAGTCTGCTGTGCCAAACTTTCAACCCCACTCCCACCTGAGAAACAAAGAGCACGGGGCAGTGGGATCCTCATGTCAGGCAGTGCAGGAGCCCGTGGCTACTCTGGGAAAAGGGGCCCAGAAAAGCAGCATTTTAATACAATCCTGGACCCAGAGGATCATGGAGCAGGCACCTTCTCCCTCCAGGGGCTGAGCCAAGAGGCTTTTGCCTGTCCTGCAAGTCCACAGTCTTATTTACAAAGAGCTTGAAGAGCTATTCCAAGCAGAAGGAGTGAAAGTATTGTTTTAATCCTTGCATAATGCTCCTCTCGATTCAGCGACCTGGGTCTGGCTGCCCAGTGAAGCAGCCATAATAAAGAGTCAGCTTTGAATGAGGAGTCACTTTTAACCAATTCAGGTGGAGAATCTCAGGTCCTGTAGTGATGGGCATTAACCCAGGGACAGAGCCACTCAGATCAGACCCCAAAATAAAGGTCAGTGCGTGTGTGTGCAGAGACCAGCCTGAATCTTGATCTGCCGCATTCTTTTTTAATCTGAAACCCTCACCTGCTCTTTTCTGAAGCCACCTCCTGGTTTTGCTCTTTTCTGAAGTCACCTCCTGGCTTTTGCAGATGCGACTGGATAAGGATAAATTTTATGTGAACCTGGATGTGAAGCATTTCTCCCCCGAGGAGCTGAAGGTGAAGGTGCTCGGGGACATGATTGAGATCCACGGGAAGCACGAGGAGCGCCAGGTACCCCCTGCTTTACCTTCCCCACTGAGGGACTCACTGTGAGCTCCCTCACCTCTGGTGACTGCAAAACGATCCTGTGCTCTTCTCAAATATTTGTAATTTATTTTTTTAATCAAGGTGCTCCGTGCAATCCCGCCCAGCTGGTCCCAGACAGGGCAGCAAGAGGGTGGAGGTTTATTGCTGATATTGCATGAACTGTGAACTGAACTGGAAAACGGGAATTTTGGGGCTTCCCTTCTTTCTGGGAACAGGCCAGGAATGCAGGGAGGAGCCCAATGAGCTAAAAATGAACTGTAATTATCAAGCCACGTAATGAATCAGTGCATTGCCCTGTATGTTACCTTTCCTAGGCCCAGCTAGCAGTTTGTAGTCTTTAAAAGTTGTGTTCTGCTGTCCCTCTCCCTGCTGGCTCTGGAGACCTGTGTGGACACTGGGCAGGCAGAAATGGATGTAACAGCATTTTCCAGTCCCCCATCCCCTGTCCCCAAAGTAGCTGTGTCCCTGTCCCTGGAATTGCCACCCCCAGGAGCTCCTGGGAGCACAGGGTGTCAGTCAGGAAATCCAGTGCTCCCTGTAGCTGGTGGGGGTCTCTAATCCCATCACAATTTCCAGAATTCTCCTTGGCTAAGAAGCTCATCAAGCCATGAGATCAGGCACTGAGGGTCTCCAGGGCAGGTGAGGGTGGGATTGGCACCTCGGGAATGCCAGCACAGAGCTCAGGGAAGTGGGGACAGGGAGTGGGCACAAAGCTTCCCCCTATAAACTCTGTGTACCTGCAGGCACCTGCAGCCCAGGCACTGCCTCACAGGATTCACAGAACTCACAGAACTCACAGAATTCACAGAATTCACAGAATTCACAGGATTCACAGAATTCACAGAATTCACAGGATTCACAGAATTCACAGGATCACCAGGTTGGAAGAGACCTTCAAGACTGAGTCCAACCCAGCCCTAACACCTCAACTAACCCATGGCACCGAGTGCCACATCCAGGCTTTTTTAAACACATCCAGGGATGGTGACTCCACCACCTCCATGGGCAAACCATTCCAGAACTTGATCACTCTTTCCGTGTAAAACTTTGTCTCGCTCTGCCCTTTAAACCCTTTTAACTCCCTGGAAATCTTTCCTTTGAGAGCCCCACCTCCCCAGCAGCCTTTAAACAAAACCCCCGTGGTTAAGGCGGGATGCGGGCGGATATCCCTAACTAAAAACCGCTTTCCTTCTCCCCGTTTTTTGGAGCAGGACGAGCACGGCTTCATCGCCAGGGAGTTCAGCAGGAAATATCGGATCCCTGACGACGTGGACCCGCTGACCATCACGTCGTCGCTGTCGCTGGACGGGGTGCTGACCGTCAGCGCTCCCCGCAAGCAGAGCGACGTCCCCGAGCGCAGCATCCCCATCACCCGCGACGACAAACCGGCCATCGCAGGCGCCCAGAGGAAATAGGGGCTGCCCTGCTGTCCCCAAAGCCACCCCTGCAGGGCCATTCCGCAGCTCTTTCCTCCACCTTTGCCGGCTGTACTCAATGGCTGCTCGTGTTATTTATGCTGAGTAAGTTTACTAACGAATAAAACCATGGAGAAGCAGATCGGATTGGTTTGTTTTGGGGTTGGGGTGGATGAAATGCGAGGGGGAACGTCATTCCTGGGTGGCAGGCGTGTCCAGGACAGCTTATCTGGGTGTTCAGAAGCACTTGGCTCATCACACCTTGTGTTCTCTCTCCTTTCAACGCTGCCAGAGGATTTCAGAGTGTTTCACAAGCAACAGGAAAGTTTCTCCCGTGGAGATTGAACTGGTAAAACAGCCCCATGACAATTGAAACCCATCTGAGGTGTGGGGATTTGATAACAGCTGGCTGGAAGTGTATCTTAAATCTCCCGAATGATTCATGTAATGGAGAAACATCCAGGGGCTGCAGGCAGTTCAGAGCAGCTCCAGGTGAAAACTGCAGGGCTGCAGTAAACACAGATCTACCCAAAGAGAAGGAAAACATCTTGCTCTGATGATGCAAATCACATCCCTTTGAAACTCTGCTCTTAGTGCCCTTCAAACAGTGAGCAGGATCTGATGTCTACAGCAATAATCTGATTTATGCCAGCATTGCTGTGTGATACAAACCACTGCTAAAGTCCTTTCCAGGCATCTTCACCTGCTCAGCACCTCTCTTCAAAGGGGTAGAAAGGGAAGTCTGGATGACTGGAACCGAATTTCTAAAATCCATCTTCAAAAAGGACAGATCTGTCACACAGATCATCAGACTCAGTCATGACCTGACCTATTTCCTGTGTTCCTCATACCTGCTAAGAGAAAAGTTCTATTAGCAGGGAGCACACTGAGTACACTCAGCTGAGCAGGCAGGACATCCTTCTGTGGCTGTAGGTGAGAAAAATAAAATGAGCACTCTGTGATGCAGAGTCACTGTCACACGCCCCAAATCCCCCCTCATTTCCAAGGTCTGCTGTTTCCTATTAGCTGGTTTTAATTAGCTCTCCCAGCTAAGGTGTTAATTGGGCTCGTCTGGCCAGGCACAGCACCCAAGAACAAACCCCAGACACACACAGAGGTTACAAACAGCAAAGATTAAAAAGCAGGAAGAACATTTCCCACATGGCTTTCATGTGTGACGGGTTTTGGTGCTGGAAGGAAATCCCTGCACCTCTGGTTCCTGAGGGTTTCTGGTGCTTTTCCTGCATCTTTCTTGTTCCTTCTCCACCTGGAGGCCTGGAGTGCAGCAGGACTGAGCAGGGCTGCACAAAAGAGGTTCCAGATGGGGGTGGTGGCCTGGAAATCAATGAGGTTTTTGTTCAAATCCTAAAAGAATCACCCTTGAAAGGAAGCAAATGTGAAATAGCAAGAATTTAGCAACTCAGGGAAATCTTTTTTGCAGCACAGGGGTTTTTTCAGGGCTCAAATCAGGAGCCAGAAATGGGAATTTTGAGTGAAAGCTCTCTGGGGATAAACTGCATGAGGTCAGCCAGACAAAAATACTTGAAATGCAAAACCACTCCCTGAGTGACCTGAAATACCTGTTCTGGGGAGACACAGGAGCACAGCCCAGCATGGGGAGAGTGACAGAAAACATCTCTGTCATCTCCAGGCACAAACACCATCGGGAAGCTCCTCACATCCAACAGATCATCCCAGCTCTGCACACATAAAATTCACTCTCTGATGTTTCCCTGTAATCTGAAGCAGGTTGTTTCCAAAGCAGTGAGTGTGCTGGAAGCTCACATTTAGCATGGCTAAATATAAGTTTGGAGGGGTTTTTTTGTAATAATTAGAATGGGAAGGTTGTGTGGTAACTATTTTCTCAGTACCCAACACCTCTCCAGGCCACTTAGCCATCATTTAAAATAGACAAAATGATTCTCTCAAGGCCACAGGGAGGCAGTGCCCGGCACAGAGCTCACAAGTTGTGGCAGTGGGTCTGTGTGGGAGCTCAGCTTAGCCCATTTCAAACCTTCCTCTGTCATTATCTGTGTGAAACCCTGTCCTGACACACTGTCCCTGCCCTGTGGGGCAGCTCAGGGCCCACCAATGGAGCAGGTGACACCCAAGCCTGGCTGTTGTAGATATTACAGACCATAATTTCCTTCCTTCTCAAAGGCACCACACATATATGTGAGGCAGGGTAATTAATTTACCCTGCTGAGGGATTAAGGACCTTCTTATTACACCTTGATTATACCTGCAATTATCTGACACCAAATGATGCTTCCAGCACCTTTCCATTGCTTCTGTTCTCTTTTTTTTCTCTTTCTGTCTCTGCTTCTCCCCTTTGGGAATTCAAGCAGCACAAAGAATAAGAATTGCAGGTACAGGTAAAGGCAGGTAAAGATGAGTTCAGAGGATCAAATAACCAAACTGATTATAGGGCTGGAACTCCTCTGCTATGAGGAGAGGCTGAGAGAATTGGGATTGCTGAGCCTGGAGAGGAGATTTCAGGGTGATCTAATTGTGGCCTTGCAGTCCCTGATGGAAGCCCCCAGGAAAGGTGGAGATTATTCCCAAAGGCCTGGAGTGACAGGGCAAGGGGGAATTGCTCAAACCGACAGAGAGCAGCATTAGATTGGATATTAAAAAGAAATTTGACGCTGTGTGGTTGCCCAGAGAAGCTGAGAAGTGGCTGGAAGTGTTTGAGGATGGGGCTTGGATCAACCTGCCCCGGGGCTGTGAAAGGCGTCCCTGCACCAGCTCAGCTTTAAAATCCCTTCCAACCCGAACCATTCTGCAATTCTGCGAATCTACGATTCCTCGGCTTTTCAACAGTCTTTTTTTTTTTTTTTTTTTTTTTTTTTTTTTTGAAGGCAACACCCATTTCCTGTTGCACGGCGGCCGGGAGAGCTCCCGGAATCCCCGAATCCCCGAATCCCGCATCGCTCCCGCTCCGGGGATGTCTCCGCGCGTCCTTCCCGGGATCTTTTCCAGCTCCGGGCCGGCCCAGCGGCTGCCGAGGATGTCTCGGGGGTGCCCGCAGGGCCCCGACGCCACCAGCAGTGGCCGCTGACCGGGTCCCACGTCACGAACCGGCGCCGGTGGCTGCGAGCGCTCGCCCGGGGCTACGAGCGCCGGTCCCGGCTGGGGCCATGGGGCCACCGCTCCGCCGGCTCCTGCTGCTCGGAGAGGGCAACTTCTCCTTCTCCGCGGCGCTGTGCGGGGCCCAGGGCACGCACGTGGTGGCCACTTGCTACGAGAGCGAGGAGGAGGCGACCGGGCGAGAGGGAGCGGCGAGGAGCATCCGCTGGCTGCGGGACAGGGGTGGGTGCGCACCGGGGACACCGGGGATGGGCTGGGAATGGGATGGGCTGGGAATGGGATGGGAATGGGCTGGGAATGGGATGGGGATGGGCTGGGAATGGGATGGGATGGGATGGGATGGGATGGGAATGGGATGGGCTGGGAATGGACATGGAGCTGCTGCCGACCCTTTGCTGTCACCCTTCTGGCACCGCTTTTTAATTTTCCTTAGTCAGGAAAATTAATCCACAAACATCAACACCAGAGGTTTATGTCCAAAAAGGAGACAGAGGAGTCCTTTTTGCTTTATTCCAATAAAGTGAGAGGCCATGGGACATTCCCCTGGGATCTCTCCGATTTTTGGAGCACACAGCCTCCTTTTTATCCCAATTTCCCTCTCTCTTTCCCCATTGGCTGAGGTACTTGAGAGGCACAGACTTCCCCAACACCTGATACCTGAGATTCCCCTCTAATGTATAACCCTCCCTTTTAATTTAATTCTTACATAATTCATTATTTTTCCCCATTGCTTCTTTCATCTTTCGATATCCAATTTCATTTATCAGCAGCCCTACAGTTTGTTTGCAAAGGCAAATATCTCTTTCCATTCATCAATCAGTGGAATCATTCCCGTTGTTTCTTTTATCTCTCAGTGCTGGTTTTATCTACCAGCAGATCCACAGCTCGTTTGTACAGACAAATTCGACATTCCTCTCACCCTGGTGTCACCCGGAATGGCATCGCTGTCACCCTGGTGTCACTCACAGTGGCACCATTGCCCCGATGCTGTGTCCCTTGAGAGCCCCCAGGCTCCAGACGTCTCTGGGGACGGCCCAGCTGGATAAATGAAACGCTTTAAATCTTTTAATTTTTTAAAAAATATTTTTAAATGTAAATCTTTAAATTTTAACGCTTTAAATGCTTTGAAATCTGATCAGGATGAGAGAGTAGGGAAATAGCACCGAACCCTGGAGGGTTTGCATTCCCACTTTTCTTTAAATTTCTCCTCCCTGGCAGCCATCAGAGCCTTGCTCTGCGTTTGCTGTTGCAGGAGCCGAGGTTTTGTTCTCCGTGGATTGCACCAAGCTGAAGGAACACTTTTTACCGGGAGAACGGGAATTTGATCGGATTTATTTCAACTTCCCTCACTGTGGGAGGAAGGCCGGGGTGGTGAAGAACAGGCAGCTCCTTGCCCGCTTTTTCCATAGGTGAGTAAACCAGCAATAATTCTGTGTTAATTAGCATAAAGCCGTGGCACAGATGTTCCAGGTGTTTTTTTTTTCCGGCACTGGGAGATCTGGGGGTGTGCTAACAGGAATTTTCTGGTTGCTTGGCTTCCCTTCCAGCTGCACAGAAGTGCTGGCACAGGAGGGAGAAATCCACGTGGCCCTGTGCAATGGGCAGGGAGGGACTCCTGCGGATCAGCCCAGGAGGGAGTGGCACAACAGTTGGCAAATCGTGGCCGTGGCAGCCGGAGCTGGGTTTATCCTGAGCGAAATTCATCCTTTTAAAGCAGAAACTATCGATGGATATAAATGCACGGGTTACAGGTAACCACCACGTGGCAAAACTGAAATTCTGATGTTTGTGCTCTTAAAATGCCCCAGCACTAGATTATTCTTTTAATATCTTGTTGGCTGGAGAGGAACTCCTTTTTAATTTTCCTTTTCATTTTCCTTTTCATTTTCCTTAAAATAGCTGCAGTTCCTGTTCATCTCTAAGCAGAATAACCGAGATTAAAATGCGAGCTTCCTGCCAAAGCACCCTCTAAAAATGGCTCTCTGAGGATTTTAAAGGTCAAAAGCATCCTTTTCAGAACAAATATCAATCTCAGCCTAAAGACAGGAGGACTGGGGGTTGGTGCTGGCTGGGCCATCATCTGGTCCTGCCTACTTGGGGCACATTAAATATCAGAAATTATCAGTGACTTTGCTCTGTTTTTGTGTATTTTCAGGAGTCAGGATAAATCCTTCTGTGTAGAGGGTGCTTTGAACCACATTTTCACACGGAGCACAGCACCCCTGTGTTCCACACCCGTGAGCTGCAAGACACAACTGGGAAGCCAAAAAGTTTCTTTTCAAGTGCCACAAGTCCTCGTGGATAAAATGAATAGGTGAGTTTTAGAATTAGTTTCTCTTTGGCAGTAGCAGCTCTCCTGCTCTCAGTGGGAATGACAGCAGTGGGGTCACATAAATGGATATGGTGACTGGGAAATCCTTTTTTACCAGGGAATTACAGTTAATTCTTGATTGTAACCTGCAGACAAACACCACTACCATGAAAATGTGCAACACCTCTGGCTTGGTCAGGTAGTTCCTGGTTTAAGAATGTTTTGGGTAAATTGCTGCACTCAAATTATGGCCACAGGAAGGAAATCACAGATGGTGTCTGTAATTTGCACTTTTATTTTTCACAGGGGTTTCCTCGAAGAGAATTCAAATCATCCAGTAAGGACAATAAAGGAGAAGCTCAGTGCAGGGCTCAGCCAAGTTTTTCCACTGCAGAACATCAGCTCCTGCCTTCCTCTGCTCCACCAAGGTCACCCCAATGGGGTTTGCCACTCCAACATCTTCTGGGTCTCTCTGAGCCCAGGGGAGGCTCCAAGCACTGAGGAAATGTCTCAGGAACTGGCAAACACAGCTTTGTTTTCCCATTTTGGCCAGGACACGGATCAGAATGTACAGGAAGGATGCCCAATTCCAAAGCAGTTTTATCTTAGGCCTTCCCTCCTGCCTCATGCTCAGGCAATAATAAAAAAAAGAGCTTTTTCCCCAGGGACACTTCAGGTTCTTTCTGGGCCAGTTTTTAGGAAATGTCGGATCTCTCCCCACTCCATGCCTGTTTTCCATGAGATGCTCGTGGTGCTTGCAGTTAGCAGGGACACAGAGAACAGCTGTATCCAGATGTTGGTGGATAACATTCAAACCACCATGAATTCTCTTCACCAGGGCGTTTCTGGTGTCAAACCCAGCATCAGCCTGCAGGAAGCAACGAGTCTGAGAGCTGAGCTAAATGACTTTGCTGCTTTGGAACGGCAGCTTGGTGAAATTCAGCATTTCCTGTGCGTGGGGACAGAGCCAGACCCCTCAGGCTCCTGTGTGGGGGTGATCAGGACAGCTCCCGATGAATTAAAAAGCCATGAGCTGGTTGTTGTGTCAGCCTCGCTGAACCTGGACCTCCTGGCCATGCTGCTGTGTGGAATATCCGACTGGAGGATGCTCTGGACACTGGACAGGCGCTTCCTCAGGCAGTTTCCTGAGGGAGACTTGAGGCTTTTCAAGAGTTTCTCCCTCTATCCACCTTCCTACGTGCACGATGTCAGCTTCTGGGTTCCTGACGGGGAGGAGTTTGATGAAGTGGCTTTTCACACCCTTGCCAGGGGGGTGTCAGCTGAAACGGTCATTTCCATCCAGTTGAGGGACAATTTCCAGCAGCCAGGGACAGGACGGAGGAGCCTGTGCTACAGGGTGACTTTCCAGTCCTGTGACAGGGCCTTGGGCTGCCAGGAGGCAGCGGAGATGCAGCTGCACTTTCGGCAGGAAATACAGCAACACCTGGGTGTGACCCTGAGGTAGAACATCTCCTGTGGTGTGCAGGGGCTGCAGCAGCTCCTGTGCCAGTTTTTTTCTGACCTGGAGAATGTCACCTGCACGTGGTTGGACCTAACGCTGTCACTGCAGTGCCTGTCACATGGCGGGGTGGACTTTGAGCTCGTTTCAGTGCGGGAGTTCTGTTAATGAGGACCAAGTGCTCTCCTGTTCAGTGTGTGTGTAATGAAACCTCGTTCCATGAAGTGGAGCCTTTCTTTTCTATGGTCCTGTGAGGGTGGATTCCATCTCTTTACTAATGCAAATTCCTGCTGGTGCCCATCCTGAGCCTCCCCTGCCCAGCCTGAGGCCGTTCCCTCTCCTCCTGTCCCTGTTCCCTGTTAGAAATCCCAAAAACCCCCGGCTGTCCCCTCCTGTCAGGGAGTTGTGCAGAGCCACAAGGTCCCCCCTGAGCCTCCTTTTCTCCAGCTGAGCCCCTTCCCAGCTCCCTCAGGAATTCTCCAGCCCCTTCCCAGCTCCATTCCCTTCCTTGGACACGCTCCAGCCCCTCCCCATCCCTCCCGTGCTGTCCTTTCCCCATTTCCTGAGCGCAGGGGGTACCGAATAAAGAACAGCTCTGTCGGTGCCTTCCCCATTCCCTCACTTTCCTGCCCAACACTGGGCGTGCGGGACAGGGACCGGGGGGTGGGTGATGGACACGGGTGGGTGATGGACCCGGGTGGGTGATGGACCCGAGTACACGGGGCAAGGAACCGGGTGGGTGATGGACTCAACGCTCTCCCTGTCGCAGTCCCTATCCCTGTCTCTCTGCCAGTCCCTGTGTCGGTCTCTGTTGCTGTCACTGTCCCTGACCATCTGTCTGTCCCTATCGGTCCCGGTCCCTGTCTCTGTCGGTCCCTCTCCCTGACCTTCTGTCGGTCCCTATCTGTCGGTCTGTCCCTGTCCCTCTGTCTGTCCCTGTCCCTCTACCGGACCCTGTCCTTCTGTCGGTCCCTGTCTATCTCTCTTGTCCCTCTGTCGGTCCCCGTCCTTGTCTGTCACGGTCCCTCTATCGGTCCCTGTCCCTCTGTTGGTCCCTCTGTCTGTCCCAGTCCCTGTCTGTCCCTATCCCTGTGTCTGTCCCAGTCCGTCTGTCCCTCTCCCTATGTCGGTTTCTGCCCCTCTCTCTGTCCCGGTCTCTCTGTCTGTCCCTGTCCCTCTGTCTGTCCCGGTCCCTGTGTCTGTCTCTCTGTCTGTCCCTCTCCCTGTCCCTGTGTCTGTCCTTCTCCCGGTCCCTGTGTCTGTCCCTGTCCCTGTGTCTGTCCCTGTCCCTGTCCCTGTCCCCGTGCCTCTCTCGGTCTCTGTCTCCGCCCGAGGCAGCTCTGCCCACACCCGTGATGGCGGCGGCGGCTTCGCGGGCGCTGTTGCAGCTGCTCGGGCCGGGCCGCGGGCTCGGGCGGGCTCTGCGTGCCCGGAGCCGCCATGGCCGCCAAGGGGGCCCGGCAGCGCCCGCGGGCGGGCGGCGGGGACGCGGCGGGGCGGCGGCCAGAGCCCACGGGCAACGACGAGCCCAGGAGCGAGTGAGTGCGGCTGGGGATGGAGGGGGGACTGCGGAACTACCGGGGCTACCGGGGATAGAGCGGGGACTGCGGGGCTACCGGGGCTACCGGGGATAGAGCGGGGACTGCGGGGCTACCGGGGATGGAACGGGGGCTGCGGGGCTACCGGGGATAGAGCGAGGACACCGGGGCTACTGGAGATGGAGCGGGGTCTGCGGAGCTACCGGGGGTACCGGAGATGGAGCGGGGGCTTCGCGGGATGGAGGAGGGACTGCGGGGCTACCGGGGCTAGCGGGAATGCAGCGGGGACTGCGGGGCTACCGGCGATGGAGCGGGGGCTGCCCGGGCTACCGGGGGTACCGGGGCTAGCAGGGATGGAGCGGGGCTAGCAGGGATGGAGCGGGGCTAGCAGGGTTACCGGGGCTAGCAGGGTTACCGGGGCTAGCCGGGGTTGGCCATGGTGCTGCGGCATCCCCCGGGCACTGAGTGCTGCTGTGCGCTGGGGGCCAGCCCTGCGCGGGGCTGATAGCCCATCCTTGTGATCCCCCTGCCCTAACGCCACACTCAGCCCTGTGAGCTTTGAGCTCCTTGCTGAGGCTTCCTGCTGCATATCTGTATTTTTTATTTTTTATTTTTTTTCTCTCCTCCTCCTTTGGATTAGATCATCCGGGAGCAAAGCAGGGCACGTCTGGGCCCCTGAAGGATCAACAGCTTTCAAGTGTCTCATCTCGGCCAGGTTCTGTGCAGCTCTGCTCAGCAACATCTCGGATTGTGATGAGACCTTTAACTACTGGGAACCAGTGAGTCCCTTCCTGCCCTTGGGACTGGGAATTTGTACCCGACCTGTGCAAATCTCCATTTATTTAGGACCTTGTGCTCTCTGTTTCAATTTCCAGTTGGCTTGTGTAAATGCGGATTTATTTAAAACGTTGTGCCAGTCCCTCTGTTTCAATGAGAATTTTTGTGCTCTGGAATTCAGAGGTGGGGAGTGGAAAACTGTCTGCTCTGTGTGCTGCATGTTAATTTATTAGTTTATTTCTTTGATCTCTGTTTAGACACACTACCTCATTTATGGGAAGGGGTTTCAGACATGGGAGTACTCTCCAGCCTATGCCATCCGCTCCTATGCTTACCTGTGGCTCCATGCCTTGCCAGCCTGGTTCCATGCCAGGGTTCTGCAAACCAACAAGGTAAATCATGTGCGTGGGAGCTGCTTTTGTGAGGGGGAAATGTGCCTTTAGTGTGTGTGAAACTGCTGTGCTGTTTGTGTTGAAATTGACTCCGTGTTTATAAAACTCCGGTTTGTTGACAAGCACTGACCTCCCTGTAAGGATTTCCAAGGGTTTGTGGGTTTCCCCTGATGCTTTACAAGCCCATTTTGTGTCCTGTGCCTCATTCACATTCTGGCTGTGTCTGCTAGGTTCTCATCTTCTATTTCCTGCGATGCTTCCTGGCCTTCCTGAGCTGCATTTGTGAACTCTACTTCTACAAGTGAGTGTCAGAGTCTGTGTGCAGGGGGTGTTTGGGAGCAGTGTGGGTGACATGTGCAGTTACTGCCACGGGAAATAGCCTTTGAAGCTCGTGTGCAGATGAGAAAATACACGTTCTTGTGATAACTCAATGAGATGTTGGTCACAATGCCACAATCAGGACAAAATTGTACTCCCAGATCTGCCACCCACACCTCTACTCCAGCATTTTGTTGACTGCACTCGTTTCCTCACTGCTGGCAGCAAGCAGGGTGGGAGTGCTGCAGACTGAGGAGAGGCTGGGGCTGTGTTTGCTTATCACAGTGAATTTGACTGGAACACATTGATTGCTGCTGTCTGTAATCTCTCTGCCAGTGCTGTTTACATCCACTAAAATCAGTCGCCCTAACATGCAATTATCTTGTCTAAACTGGGTTTTTATTTTTACCTGATGCCTCTTGATTCCTGATTTTCAAACCACTACCTTGCATGACTTTTTTTTTTTTTTGGTCTGGTTTAAGGAGATGAACTGTGGCTTTTTTGCATGATGGGGTTTTGTGAGGGGTGAGGATTGTGGATGGATTGATGTGTGCAGCAGTGCAGCCACAAGCTCCTGAGATTTGCTCAGCTGGGAGAAGCCAGGCTTTATCCAGAGTTTTGCACTGGTGTAACTCAGGGTGTGAAATCCAGCAGCTGAGTGTTGGGAATCCCCCACCTCAGAGCTCTCAGGCTGCTCCGTGGATTGTTTGTGGTTTTGCTGGTTTTTGCCCTGAGGTTGTTTTGTGGTACCTGTTTCTCTGCTGCTTCCCCAGGGCTGTGTGCAAGAAGTTTGGGCTGCACGTGAGCAGGCTGATGTTGGCCTTCCTAGTGCTGAGCACGGGGATGTTCTGTGCTTCTGCAGGTGAGTTGGCTTGGCACTGGCACTAACAATGACCAAAGACAGGTCCAGAGAGAGGAAAATCACATCTCCAGGGTGCTCTTTGTTGTGTTCTCATGACAGAACAAGCGTTGGTTGAAATTTTGTTCTGTGTGGGACAATTTCCAGGCCCGTTTCTGTTGCTGCCTCCTGTTTTTTTTTTTAATATTGTTGTGCCTTTTAAACAGACTCTTGGCCTGCCTTCCTTGGACCTCTAGTTCTAAGGAAGGAGGCTGATATTTGGCAGTTTGCCTTTGTGTGCTGTCCCCTCTGGCTGGTCGTACCTGTTTTCCCAGCCACTGCAGGACTTGTGTCAAACACTTGCTGCAGGTGTTGGGTGAAGCTCACCTTTCCTCCCCTTGCCTTGCAGCTTTCCTCCCCAGCAGTTTCTGCATGTACACCACGGTGGTTGCCATGACAGGCTGGTACATGGACAGGACCTCGGTGGCAGTGCTGGGGGTGGCTGCTGGAGCCCTGCTGGGCTGGCCCTTCAGTGCAGCTCTGGGGTAAGGAGGAGTTTCTGGCTCTTTTTCAAGTGGTTTTCACCTGGCTGGGGAGAATGGGGTGGAGGAGAAATCCAGCAGGGACTGAGCTGCCAGTTTAGCCCAGGATCATTGCTACAGGCTTCTTGACTTTGGAACAGCTTAGGCTGGGAAGAGTTCCCAGCGTTAATATGAGGAAAACCTGAGCTGGTTGATGAATGTGGAGTAGAAGCAGAGGCCAGTGAAGTGGTGGTTCCTTCTCTTGCTTGGAAGGGGAAGCAGAAGCTGCAGTGGGGTTCTCAAAATCTCCAGCTGACAGCTTGTGTCTCTTTCAGGCTTCCTATTGCCTTTGACTTATTGATCCTGAAGAAGAGGTGGAAAAGTTTCCTGAACTGGTGTGTGGTGTCCTTGATCCTGTTTTTGGTGAGTGTCTGCAACAGCACAAACAGGGACTGGATGGCAATAGAAGGGATGAGTTCCTTTAGGAAAACCAGCTGCTTGCACTTTAACCAAAATCTGCTTTCTTGCAGGTGCCCTTGGTGGTGGTGGACAGCTATCACTATGGGAAGCTGGTGGTGGCACCTCTCAACATCGTTCTGTACAATGTCTTCACCCCCCACGGGCCTGATCTCTACGGTGGGTTTGGGATAAGGAGCCGGGGAGGGAGCCCGAGGTTTTCTGGCTGCCCTGGCCCTTGATGGGCAATGCTTTTTCTGCCGTGCCCTGGAGCAGGAGCAGCCTGCCAGCTCCAAAGGCTGCAGCTGCTGCTCGTGGACACGGGATGTCTCTGTCGAGCTGGCAATGCACTGCCCGCTTCCTGCACTGCGAGCTCTGCTGCTT